TCAATATTATAAAGTCAATTTTCCCCCAAACTGATTCATAGATTTAATGCAATTCCAATAAAAATCTAACAAAAATTTTAGTGGAACTTGAAAGCTGATTCTAAAATTTGAGTGCAAGTATGAAAGGATAAGAATAGCCAAGATACCCTTGAGGAAGAAAAATGTTACTCATTCTAACACATATTTGATGGAGAAATTCTTTTGTTTTTGCTTAATTTTTTTTAATAAACTGATACACAATGATTTCCTCCCAAGGGGCAACATCAAATCGAACTGGCAAATATTTACCCTATACAATGCTTAGTATCTTTATGATAGCCAAGTGGTCTTCAGAGTATGACAAAAAGATCTTTCTCTATGGCAAATACTGTAAGAAACTCAAGGAGGGGAAATTGAATAAGAAATAGGGGAGCCTTTTAGTTTTCACCCTATTTTTATGAGGCTAATAGGTAGAAATTGGTTTTTAGATGTTCAAATGCCCAATGGATTTTTTTAAATTTTATTTTATTATGTTATGTTAATCACCATACATCACATCATTAGTTTTTGATGTAGTGTTCCATGATTCGTTGTTTGCATATAACACCCAGTGCTCCATTCGATACATGCCCTCTTTAACACCCATCACTGGGCTAACCTATCCCCCACCCCCAGAACCCTCAGTTTGTTTCTAAGTCCATAGTCTCTCATGGTTCGTCTCCCCCTCCAATTTCCCCCCAAAGGATTTTTTAAATCCCCAAAATAATAAGAGTTCATATTCTACATGTACTTGTCAAAATATTTCTGGAACATAATATAGGTATTTTAAGTTGAAGTGTGTATGTTTCTAGTTCTTACAGAATTATGTGATATTTGAAAACAAAATTCATACACAGAGAAATAAGGGTATGAAGAGAGAAAATCTAGAAGCAAAATAAAAATGCCACATCACAAGGGCTAGAGAAATGAGTCAAAGAGAAATAAATCAACTATACCTTTGATTTTCCCAAATGGCAAAATAAATGTCAATGAAATAAACCAGTGGTTCTCAAAAGTGCGGTCACCAGAAGGGCAACATTAGCGTTACCTGGTATCTTAGTAGAAACACAAAGCCTATGGCTCCATCCCAGACCTGCTGATCAAGAACTGTTGGGACAGGGCTCAGGAATGTATATTCTAACAATCCCTCCTGGAGATCCTGATGTCCTTCAAGTTTGAGAACCACTGAACCATTCCAAACCACACCCCACTCATTTTTCACTTATGTGAATGGACAATTGGTCTTAATATTTATTATGAGGATTAAATAAATGGTCACAATTGAAAAGAAAAAAAATAAAATGTCTTTAAAATAGGTTTGAATAGCATCAATGGACCTCGTGTTTTGTCAAAATATAATTAACATGAGTATCTTTTCACTAATTTCATGAAACTAATATTCTACACAAGAAGAGAAAGATCTATCATCAAAACCTGCTTTAAAAGACTTAAAAATATTTCACATAAATATTAGGGAGATATTTCTCATTTGCAATTTACTAATTACGGAACCTCTCCATATACTGCTTCATCTATCATTGCAATTATATATTAGTTAGCACAAGTAACATCATTTTTGTTCCAAGATTATTATTTCATACTAGGATTTTCAAGTTCTCCAGAATTTTTTTTAAATTTGAAAGTGTTTCAAAAATACCCTCATGAGTCTACAATAATACCCTCAGAATTAAAGTGACATTTCTGAATCAGAAAATTTTCTCCTTTTCTCCTATTTGTTTCACTCAGCTTTGTTTACCTAATCACTATCTTCACATCTATTGTATAAAATGACAGATTTCCAACTAAAAGCTCAGTAAACGCACACAGTAGTCAACTTTAATTGTAAAAAATTACAAAACAAACTTTAAAGCATTTCTACCAATGTAAAGCTCTGTGGGAAATTTTCTCAGAGTATTGTGGATGATTATTATGAGCAAAATAATGGAGGTAAGGTAATGTTACAATAACGATCTGGAGCTGTGAGTCAAATGAGTAAGATTAAAGGCACAAAGAAACTCTTCCTAATAAACAAGCAGATAACTGCTGGAAAGAAAAATATGTTCCTTATTTGAAATTAACTGCCAAACATTCTCAACCTACACAAAGCTGTCATAAAGGACATCTAAATCTGTCCTTGTTTGTAACATGTGTTGTGACAAGATTTGACAGTTTATCAAAGAACTATAATTGCCACCTAAACATCTAGCATTTTGTCAACTGCAAGTATGTTTAGTGAAAGCATTTATTCTACTTAAAATACAACAACTGTTTTTCTCCACTTTCTAAAAGAATTGACTGAATTTCTTTTCTCCTTAGCTGATCAAGCTGCATCAGGGCTCTCTCTTTGAATTATTTATGTTGGAATTGGGAAGGGTAAAAGAATAATCAGTAAAACAAGAAACTATTTCCAAGGTAATATATATATATTCTGGGTATTGACTCAAAAGACCTTCAAAATATAGCAATTCTCACAGATCTGTAGAGATGACATTTAAATATGCTTGCCTTGGGAAGGAGAAAGGTAGGCATTTTCTCTATACCACAATTTATTTATCCAGAGTTATTTATTAAGGGATGCTGTCTTAAATACAGAGAATGTGTTCTTCAATAGGCATTATTCCTACCTGTAACTTCTGTTTGAAACAGCCAATAAGATAGATGTCTTTCTCAACCTACAGAGACCAAAGTAAACAGGAGCTAAATCCCCTTGCAATAGATTCACATAACAGAAATGTCAGAGTAATAAAGATATTTCCATGACACTGCCAATCGTTCATATCTTTCAGGAAATAATTTTTTAAAGAATTTTCCAGTCTCAGGTTTGGGGCTTTGCTCTTTGTTGTAGCTGTTTGATAATTAAAAATGCCATTTTTAGGCAAAATTTTCTGCATGCCTTTTAAATTTTTCCTTCATTCTCATAAACCTCAAAGAAAAAATGATACAGTGAGAAAAACCCTATTTGGAAATTCAGGAATCCCATATTTTAGTGCACACTCTGCCTTTAATTAGCTGTTTGATCCCAGACAAGTTGCTTTATTTCTCTGGGCCTCGGCTATCTGTCTGTCAATCGGGTTGTTGGACTGGAAGGTCTCGAAGGCCATTTCCATCTTTAACATTTTATGATTTCAGACAAATCCCTGGAACTATGAGGTGTTGCAACAGCCAGAACTTGGAGCAAAAATAGCAGCAAGACAAAAATTTCTCCTACTTAACACCTCAAGGAAAATGCAACCAACTATTTGTTTTTAATGTTTACATTAGCATTCAGTCCTATTTAGGTAATAATAAGTCTATTTAAAAATCTGTTTTGTTTTTCTTTAAAAAGTGAAAAATGTGTGACACATTGAGAACACTAAGAGAAAAATCATTTTAATTGAAGCTGCAAGTACTTTTTAGTGCTGCTAAATTAAGCTACAGAATTTTCTTCAGAAATCACTGTATGTAGTCAGGCTGAGGATGAGAATTACATAGTATAGATGGTTCTGCTGATTTTATGATAGGAAGGAACATGAATGGAGGGTTGTGGACAGAAATGAGCTGACAATGCACTGTCAACCGTGAAGAGTCTGAATTGAGGACTGGGAAGAAGTTGATGTTGGGGAGAGATGTGATTGGATCAGTAGCAGGACATTTTGGTTTAGTCTTTTTGACACAGCTGTTTACATGGCTTTATAATAATAAACCACTTAATATAAATACACTTTTTTTTTTCCAGCAAAGTAATGTGTTTCACAGACACTGCCAAATCTTACCCATTCCTGTTGCCTAATCCAATTCCTGAGCTTATCCCATCCGTGAACCCAATCCGGTGGGGGAGCTTGAAGGTGGGATGTGAAAATATATTCAACAAATTATTCAGTAATTTCAAAATACGAAAAAATGGTTATTTGATTTTAGGCTAAATCAAAATGTTTCAGAAACAAATGTCAGACACACAATTAGCAGGATAAAAGTGTATGATTTATATATGATGCCTCCATTATTTTTATGACACAGTTTGCTATTGAAATTCCTGGTATCTGTGGCCCCTTCCACTTCTTTCCCCATTACTCTAACCCCCAGGGCACTTTAGAAGCTATGTACTCAAAATTTGCTAACACTTAATCATCTTATATATTTTATTAGTGTTTTTTTAATTATAAAAGTAATGGAAGTTCAAATACTACGTTGACAGATGGCAATAAAACGTGACAGTCCTCCTTCATCCCAAACTCCCACCAACCTATTCCCCTCTCCAAAGATAATCATAATAAAAAGAACCTCCACAATGATTTGATGTTTTGACTATTGCTTACTATTAAATACATACATTTCATATTATGCATATCTTTTTGACTGGGTTTTTTACATTTAGAAATATCTTGGGGATATTTCCATATGGCTACACATAAGTCAGTTTCTTTAGTGGCTGCTTATTTGATAATTTACATTATATGATAATTTACCTATTGATGGACATTTCTTAGTTTCCAGATTTTGCTATTATAATTCTAGAAAGATTCCTATTTGTCAAGCACCATCTTGTATTCTGTAAATGGTACAACACTTGGCACACAGAATACCTCAGGAAATATTGACAGAATGAATTAATACAGCAATAAATAACATTATCAATATATTTTGGGATTTGGGGGATGCCTGTGAATATTGCTATTGAGTAGATTCCTAGAGGTAGATACATCCAGTCAAAGGTTATACAAAATTTCCCTTGCAAAATTTACACACTTACACATTCTATTACAATAGAGGAGTTAATCTATCTTACAGTTTTGGCCCACCTGATGTGTGAAAATGATTGGCATTTTCCTGATTACTAGCACTTTTTCATGTGTTTATTACTTCCTCCCCTACACCCCCCCCTCCCCAGCCCCCGTCCCCTGTGAATTTTCTATTTATGCTACTTCCAAACTGTTTTGGTCATCTTTTTCCTCACTCGATTGGAAAGAACTCCGCCTAAAATATATTTTAGACATTTTCTCCAGTCTGTAACTTCCCTTTTAAACATAAACATCTTTTACGCTGCAGAAGTTTGACATTTTTACGTGTTTCCATTTGTTTTGCAGCCCTAGGACACTACTGCAGGCACCAATAGAAGAAAAAAAATCCACGAACTGAAGAAAGACTTGATTTTTTTAGTTTAGAAGTGTGAAGCGGGCGCCAAACAGGAGTTTTTTTCTAAAGACCCGAGGTCAACTGACGGCAGCTCGCAGCCGGAAGTGGGCCTGTAACCGGCCTGTAACAACCGGAAGTCCTTCCTTAGTCCGTGGTCTGACGTCGGTTGGGATCTTGGCCGCGGCGGTGATCGCTGGACGAGGAGTGCCTGGAGTGATTGACCAAAATGCCAAATATCAGAATCTTCGGTGGCAGCTCCCACCGGGAGTTATCTCAGAAAATCGCCGCCCGCCTGGGCCTAGAGCTAGGCAAGGTGGTCACCCAGAAATTCAGTAACCAGGAGACCTGCGTGGAAATTGGCGAGAATGTGCGAGGAGAGGATGTCTACATAGTGCAGAGTGGTTGTGGCGAAATCAACGACAGCCTAATGGAGCTCTTGATCATGATTAATGCCTGCAAGATCGCCTCAGCCAGCCGGGTTACCGCCGTCATCCCGTGCTTCCCTTATGCCCGGCAGGATAAGAAAGATGAGAGCCGGACCCCAATATCCGCCAAGCTTGTGGCAGATATGCTGTCTATAGCAGGTGCAGATCGTATCATCACCATGGATTTACACGCTTCTCAGATTCAGGGCTTTTTTGATATCCCAGTAGACAATTTGTATGCGGAGCCAGCTGTCCTGAAGTGGATAAGGGAGAATATCCCTGAGTGGAGGAACTGCATTGTTGTCTCCCCAGACGCCGGTGGAGCCAAGAGAGTGACCTCCGTTACAGACAGGTTGAACGTGGGCTTTGCCTTGATTCACAAAGGAAGGAAGAAGGCCAGTGAAGTGGACCGCGTGGTGCTAGTGGGAGACGTGAGAGAGCGTGTGGCTATCCTTGTGGACGACATGGCTGACACCTGTGGCACAATCTGTCATGCCGCTGACAAACTTCTCTCAGCCGGAGCCACCAAAGTTTACGCGATCTTGACTCACGGAATCTTTTCTGGCCCGGCCATTCCTCGCATCAACAGTGCATGCTTTGAGGCAGTAGTAGTCACCAACACCATACCTCAGGAGGATAAGATGAAGCATTGCTCCAAAATACAGGTGATCGACATCTCCATGATCCTCGCGGAAGCCATCAGGAGAACTCACAACGGGGAATCTGTTTCCTACCTATTCAGCCATGTCCCTTTATGATAGAATAACTTTGGGTTATTCTCTTTTTAAAATAAAATACGGTAAAATAAAAATAAAACATACCCTGCCCCTTGTTTTTTTTTTTTTTTTTGGAATTTGATGGAAAGTTCAGTAGAAGACCCAGCTTCCTCGGGTGTGACTTTCTGCATCCCACCTCAGGTATATTAGAGTTTATCTTAAACTGAGGAAAGACAGATTGAGGATAATTGCTGGGATTTTTCTCTCTGGGTTGTCTCATTCTGGCTTCTTTATTTTCTGAACCTTGCAGGTTTAACTACAGCTCAGCTACTGATTTCAGACTTCAAGGGTGTTGTGTGGAGGTGTTTGAAAGTGATTAGGGAAGTTTAGAGTACATGTGAATGCTTCAGGATAACTAGCAACTTCAGCCAACCTGATCCACCATCCTCACCACTACCCTTTGCCCATCTTCTACTCCCTTTTCTTCCTCCTCCTCTGGGCTGCTCCCCCTCTCATTTGTCACAAGTTCTTCGAGATCCGTGTTAAACCCATTGCGAGACCAGAGTAGCAGCCTTCAGTTTGAACAGCCCCTGGGTAGAATCATGAGAGGAAGCTGCAAAGTGCAGCCAATGCTTCTGAAGAGGAAGAAGAGGAATCTGTCACCATCTGTTTTGAGAATATATATATGGGATTCTCCACAGTTGGGGGGGGGGGGGCGGCGGGCAGAGAGGGAAGAGGGATAATCTCAAGCAGACTCCCCACTGAGTGCAGAGCCCCCTGTGGGGCTTGATCTCAGGACCCTGAGACCATGACCTGAGCTGAAACCAAGAGTCCAACACTTAACTGACTGAGCTACCCAGGTGCCCCTGTATCTGTAACTTTTAGTTTTACCTCCAACCACCTTGACCTTTTCTGGGACAAATATCCTGTTGGGTCCAAATGATCAGTGTGCCCGTCCTCTGGAAAGCAAATCCACTTCCTGCTATGCAATCTCTTAACATTTGCATTAGATGTTTTTGCTGTAGCTTCATCTTAGCCTACTGCCACCATGATTATAGATTTTAGGTGATGTTATAGTGCCTTTTGATTAAGCATTTACCTTTGTCCTTCCTTGTATTTGGTTGGCATCTCAGAGGACCTCAGATTTATATTTAAAAATTGGTACTGTTGTCCTCCTGTTGGGAAAACTAATAAAATGTCTGCATGTATGTGGAAAAAAAAATACACATCTGGACATATCATGAAATTTCTGATCTCCAAGAAAATGCACACAGGCCCTAAAATCTCCTAATATATAAAACATAAACAGGGTGATTTTAAAGGAACAGTATTCAGATTACTGTTAGAGTTCTCATTTGATCTCCCGGGCAATAAGCAAAATGGAAAAAAAATTTTGCATTCTGAAGGACATTATTTTCAATCTAGATTTCTTGCCCAGACAATCATTTAATTTTGAAGGCAGAATTAAGGCATTTTAATATATTAAAAGACTCTGGAACTTTACCACCATGAATGCTTTCTGAAAATATCACTTAAGCATACTGAAAATTAAAAAATATATACAACTAAGAAAAACACATGAATTAAAAGAGATAATGGTGAAAATGATATAAAAATAATTTTTCATGAAGTTATTATGAAGATTATCACAGCTATTAAGATAAAATTCACATAAAAATTGAGCCACAGTATAAAGTGAATTATTTTAAAATCTATAAATAAAATACCAGATGATATCCACAAAGCATGGGAGGTTAGGAGATGTTAGGGTTGGTCTAAGTATATTAATAATCTCATCTAGTTTGGGAAGGAGGTACGGACACAAATAATTTACATTATAGCAAAAACTGTGTTTACATGTTTTCTAAAATACAAGGACAAGCAACATAAAAATGCAATGAATTACTTGAAAATTCCTAGACAGAAAAAAAAAATGCATAATGGCAATTATAATGGCATAATGGCACAATGAACAAAGTAAAAAAATCCAGCTGAAGATAGGAAATAAATAAGGAAGAAAATATGGCAAATAGCAAATACCAAATATATGTTAAACTAAAGTCAATGCATTAGCTAGAGTCAAGATGTTAAATTAACTTTATGAAAGAAATTATTAGATTGGGTAGCAAAATTATCTAATGATAAGCTGTTTACAGGAGATAAACCTAAACAAAAATTTTGATAAAAAGGGATGATGAAAAATATATCAAGTAAATGCTCACAGAAAGAAACAAGGAGGGATTTTCAGTCAAAGTAAACATGGAATATGTTTTGCTGATTAAGCCCCTCCAATAAGTTACAACCATCAAGAATCTTTATGCACCTAACAGCTCAACATTGAAATATAAAAAGAAAAACAAGTGAGAGTATGAGGAGAAATGTATAAATTACATTAACAGAGGGAAATTTTAACAAAACTCTCATAAATAATCAAGATATTTTAATAACTACATATGGAAACTAAACAGATAATTCACATTTTCCAGCATGAATGAAAACATTTATGATATTAAAACTAGTAATAGGTCACCAAAAAGTCTTCATACATTTTTTAAAAAGAAATTTACATAGACCGTATACTCTAAAGAGGATTTACCACAGTCGTCTTGACAATCCTGTGAAAAAATAGAACTATCAGTACAATAGGAATAGAATGAAGCTTGCTTGACCTGATAAAGAAAATCCACCAGAGACAAAGATATAATTAATGCATTCCCACTACAATCAGTCAAATTTCTAAGCCAGTGGAATAAGGCAAGAAAAAGAAGAGAGCAATATTGGAAAAAAAAAAAAAGTCAAAACTGTCCTTATTTATAGATGTCATTATTGTCAACAAGAAATCCAACAATCAAAAGAAAATCTGTCTGTTCCTACAGGAGGTCAGGAGAGTGACTACACATAAGATAAATAAAGTAATTGCCTCTCCTAAATACCAGCAAAACATAATTTTAGAATATAATTGAAAAAATTGTCCACAACCTAGGGCAATAAAATCTGCAAAATAACCAGTAAGAAACTCCCAACACTGTAGGACTGGTATGAAAAAAGTTTGCTAAAGGATATAGAATATATGAACCTGGAGAGGAAGAACAATTGAAAGTTTTCTCAAATCATCTAGTCAGTGTAACCCCAATCAAAATCCTAAGAGGATTAAAAAAAAAAAAAAAAAAACAAACTTGACAAGCTTTTCTTGAAGTTCATCTAGAAAAATAATTAATAAAAATATTCAAGATATTTTTCAAAATGTTTTTGTATTATAATATATTAAAATATTATAAAGCTACAGGAATTAAGACTGTTGTGTTGATGCAGGAATGAACACATAAATCGATATTACAGAATTTAGATTGCTGAAACAGACCTATGTACACTTACAGGAATTTAGTATACCCATACCCTTTTTAATGGAGGGATTGTGTTACTGGAAAAAGAAGCATAACTGAATCAATTCTCCAGGAAAATCACTATCACAAAGTCTCTGTGGAGGTGCTTTCCTGATATCCTGCCTTGGCAACCACTCCTGCAATCTACTCAGATTCTCTGAAATGGGGATGAGACTCCTGCCACAATTTTTCCCTTAGGTATCTTCATATAATTGTTGGTCAATCCAAATGATAGTGATGCTTATAATGGGCTCCTTAATGTAAGTTGACACTGACCAATATCTATCTTCTTGATGATCTTAACTTCCTGCTTACTTGATTCTATTCTGGAAAGCACCTCCAGCCTCTTCAAGACTTCTAATTTAAGTACCATTATAACTCTATTACCTTGTATATATGAAGTATACCCAATGTTATTTCCACACATTTAACTAGTCATTTTGGACAAACTGTTCTCAGAATACAAAATAAATGAAAGAGAGGCCATAGCATAGTAAATAACTCACATAGCAGAATATATTCATCCTATGGTTAGCGAAGTAGCAGATTCTCTGGCTGAAAGCTATAGTGTACTTATGCTTATTGGTCAAGAACTGTTTTATACAGCCCATCACACTACATACCAGCTTCTATCAGATGAGAGCTCACAACAGTACTTAGAAGCTGAAGGGGAGGAAATGTGTGTATGTGTATATATATATATATATAGTTGGCCCTTGAACAAGTTGAGAGTTAGAGGTGCTGACCCCACACACAGTCGAAAACCCTCTTATAACTTCTGACTCTCCCAAAACTTAACCACTAATAGCCTACTGTTGACCGGATGCCTTACCAATAACATAAGCACCAAATTAACACATATTTTGCATATTACACATACTATATACTATATCTGATAATAAAGTAGACAAGAGAAAATGTTATTAAGAAAATCATAAGGAAAAGAAAACACATTTACAGTACTGTACTATTTTTATTTAGAAAAATCCACATGTAAGTGGATAAGCAGTTCAAATCTGTGCTGTTCAATGGTCAACTGTGTATCTATGGGGGTATGTATGCATGTATATATTTGTATATCTATTAAAATTAATTTTGCCAAAATGGCATTCAATCAAGTATGCACATATATGACAAAATTGGCATATCATGTCATTAGATAAATAATGTACTGATCAATCAGTGATGCTGGATAACTATTAATTGGGAAACCAGTTTTTTCTAATCCTTAAATGATGCATAAAAATAAATTCCAGGAGAAATGGTCATAAAAAATAAAACTGTAAAGCACTGGAAGAAAATGTGGAGTAACTTTTATACTCTTGTAATGGAGAAGGCAGTAAACTGTACAAACTTTTAGGCCTAAAAGCACACCTTGAAATTTTACCCTCTCACTTTTAAGAACTATACTCATGAATTATCTCTTTCGGCAAAATTCTGAAGCCTGTTGGTCTAAAGGTAGAGACAGTCATAACGATTCTACTGCTCTTTAATATATTCATTAAATTCATTCAGTTCAACAGACTGATCATAGATCATTACCATTCTCAATACCCAATACCTCTCTGGAGGTTTTTTTTTAGAAATTTGCTACAAGGCTTCCTTTTTGAGGATCCTATCTATCTCTATGAACTTCCCATGCTTTCATTCTATTAGGAT